TTTTGTCGAGTGAGTGAACTCAAATCCATCCGTGCACTCGTCTATTCTCTTGATCAAGGCAACCTCTGAGTATCGAAGACAACATTTTATTTTTGTTCATTCGTAGCTAGAAGTTCATTATCGATTGTCAATATCAATATTCATCTTCATCTTGATGGGATGATTTTGAGGATCAAAAGCAAAATGATTATTTTCATATTACAAAAATACAACGCTGTTAGTTATAGTCATATGGTAGGAAAACGAAAAATTTAAAAAAAAAACTAAATTAGTTATTATTTGGATAGCGTGATATCAAATTTGGTAATCTGAAAGTTTTGAAATCTGTTGGTTGATATCAAAATTCAAAATCAAAAAAGTTATCAATAAGTTTTCATTTATTCAAAATAAAAACAAACCTATATTTCAATCAGTTCTATTGATATCTATCTTATATCGATTAGTAAATTAAATTCGCAGGTAGATTAACATTAATAAATGTTGTAAAATATAGCTGTACAAATCATATTTAAAGCTGAACATTGCATTAGGTCCTAAGTAACATTGACAGATTCTCTTCGTCAACTTTCTCTTTGTATCTCCACGGCCATGAAAAAGACATTCCCAGGTATTTTCAGCACACAGATCTGTAAAAGAAGATTTTATCTAGCATCTAATACGACAAACACAACAAGAAACGGTTTTGGGCTCAAGTTATTAACGAAAGAGAATGTCGACGAAAAGAATCGATCAATGTTACTTAGGACCTAATGCAATGTTCAGCTTGAATTGTCTTTGTGATGTTCATAAAAAATAGCATGCTGATAAGAAATAAAAATGAAGATTTCAGTGATAAACGTGGATGCTCTTTTCAAAAAAAATCAAATTTTGTTTTAAATTATATTTTTTAGAAATATCAAAATAATATCAAAATATGAATTCAACTGAAATTAAAAAATAGTATATCAAAATATGTTAGAAATATGATTTCAACAACATAATTTGATATCATTTTGATATTATTTTGATATCCGACTTTGCTAGGGGAATTCAACTACACTGGGTTGAAGCGCTGCTCATTGCGTGTGATGGTAAATGATAAAAGAGACACTGATTATTGTAATAATTTGTATATGTAAGATGCATGTAGAGGAGGTAAAGTTTGTGACACATAAAATCTGTCAATTTCGCTTTCAGAGGATCACAATTGTCCTTTGCTTGCTGTCTACTTTGTACATACAATTTTCAAACTGCCGTACTATAACGGATCTATCAACTCTATAATTTAATCTCCACATCTATCGTATAAAATCTCCACTTTAAGTCTGATATTTTACGTTAAGCATCTCCAACTCTGTATATCGTAGTCAACATTTTCTGGTTTTTATTGATTCTTCTAGGAACTCCCTGACGGCTCCTTCCATAAATCCATTTTAAATTTATTTGAATTCACTTTAGAATTTCCATGCAATTAACCTCATAAATTTCTGCCTAGAATAATCTTGGACTTCTTCCCTGCACCCTGCATTCAATTGGAAATTCAATTCGTATTCTCCTTAGAATTCCCATAGTATTCCTCAGAATTCTCAAAACAAAAATCCGTCACAGAATAACTTTGAAACTCTTCTCAGAATTTCTGAATTCCAGAAATTCCATTCCATTGGAATTCTCGGAATTTACTTCGAACTCATTAGAATTCTCTTGGAATTTCAGAATTAATTTTGAATTTAGGGGGTAAGAAGGAAAGGGGTGTAAGTGTCTTTGATCGATTCTCTTCATCGACTTTCTCGATCGTTAATAATTCAGTTGCAAACACATTCCTTGATTCGTGTGCCATTCTGAATGCTAGATGAGAACCTCCTTTATCAAACTATGTGGCAGAAATAGCGCAAAATCTGTTTATAAAGCTGTGACTATCAAAAGAGAAAGTCGATGAAGAGAATAGATCAAAGTAACTTACACCCCTTTCCTTCTAACCCACTCAATTCTTATTAGAATTGAACCTACACTCGAAATAATCTACACGTTGAAACTACTTGAAAAATCACGTAAGCTCTTAATTTTTCCTCTCCTCTCAGTTTTACGTGACTCCCGTAGAATGTATGCGATGTCCCTTAAATTTCACACGGAGTTCCTTTTTAACACACTTACATAATCAATGAAATGTACGTTATTTTCCCATAACACTGAGTCTATGTGCGTTTCACGTAAAGCTTATGTGATTTCCACATCTAAAAAAGAGGGGAAAGTACACTCAGAGCGCTGCAAATCATGGCGGGATTATAATGTGCTTTTGTTTGGTATTCGGTAGTGGCAAGATGTAAGCATAACATGATGAATTATTTTATTCTCTTTAACAAAAATAAACTATCTGTTTCATAGTGCTCAACAGAATGATGTCAAGCTGTCCATCAGTTTTTTCCTCTAAGGAAAAAAGTATCTTGGCCCATCTCCATGATCGTCCAAATTGTTTGTGCTGTGAATGTCAGTGACCAAATCACGTAACTTCTATGTGATAATACAGTGACGGATAAGCTTCATGAAATGAGTGCCCCTACATGAAAATCACGTTGCTCTTATGTGAAAAGTACGATGGAAAAAATCTACGTATGTTTTCACGTAGCATTTACGTGAAAATTATTCTGAGTGTAGAATCCTCATAGAATTCTTGTCAGAACTCTCGTTGAATGCACTCTCAATTATATTGGAATTATTTCCAAAAATGTTTCGGAGCTGAATTTTGCGTCTCTAATAATTTAAACAATAATCAAAAGCGACGCTCGTGTGTGTTAAGCCAAGTTTAACTATACATTTAGGTAATTTAAGCCAGGCCATTTAAACGGAGATGAAGAAATCGGTCCTCAGAGCACTTAATTTTACATGAGACTTTCTTAGTCTGTACTTTGGTATTCTCCTCCGATACATCTTGGTGTCATCTCTAGAATCCTTTAAAATTCTCTTAAAATTTACTTTGGATTTTTGAAGTTCTTAATCATCCTTGAAAAACTTTTGAAAATCTATCACAGACAAATACCTTTGGAAAATATTCAAGGTTTACAATTTATTTTCTTTCAAATTTTAATCGAAATAGAAGGTATTTCCTAATAGTTTTCCTGGTGTTCTAAAGTTTTGCGGTTCACTGGTCACCCTGGTTAAAATTTTATTTTATTTTCAACAGACATGTATATTTTGTTAAAACTACTGTAGACTGTCTCAGTGCCAAGTACTCAATTTAAACATTTTGTTTTTTTTTTTATTATAGTCAGTTTAACGCTCTTGGGTCATTCGTGACTTGTCCGGGGGTGAGATTTGAACTCGTGACTTGGGCGTGAGAGGTATGGATGCTCATGGAAAATCATTTACATTCATTTGCTTCTAACTTATTTTCATCAACAGAATTCCGTAAAATAGTGTTTGAAGCTGTTGTAGGCTTTGATATTAGCTACATCTTTTGTAAACAACTCAAATCTGTATCCCTTATGCATGATGAATCAGAGATCAATTGTTTTTCAGTGAATGTAAATTGCATTCACTGAAAAACAATAACATGTTCTGCCATCTCTATTGCATCATGCATAAGAGATTCAGATTTGAGTTTATTGAGTTGTAGGTAATATCAAAAGCTACAAAAGCTTCATACATCATTTAACGGTATTCTGTTGATGAAAAAAGTTAGAGGCAAACGAATGTCCTAAATGAATGCACGAAATGAATGTAAATGATTTTCCATCCCTGGCTACCAGCCCTGGGGTTATGGTAACAGTTTCTGCGATCATTATGCAACGGGTTTTGTAGAGCAGCCAAAAATTTGAAGTTTCGCATTAAATCACTAAGCTGCTTACCTTAAAAAATTAACAAGAACAAAAAAGATGAATTTTGAAACAGGTCGTTCCGCTGTTTTCTTTATTTAGTTTAGCAATTTGTAATGCTTGTTAAATGAAAGAAATATACACATTTTTATGAAATTTCAGTATTTAAACCAAAAAAAATTATTTATTATAAGTACACTGGAGTCGCTTTTTACGCGGGTGATACGTCCCGCGTAAAAAAAAACCGCGTAAAAAAAACCGCGTAAATTCCGGAATCAGCGTAAAAAAAAACCGCGTAAATTCCGAAATCCGCGTAAAAAAAACCGCGTAAAAAAAGACCGTGTAAGAAAAAACCGCGTAAAAAGCGATATACCGCGTCAATGGATCATATCATTCGAGCAGTTTAAAATGACGTTTCCTACCACTCGAACTTTAACGTGGAACAATATTTTGATATTTTTTCTTCTACAACCTCGAGAAAATAGGGTCTTATTTGTGATATGCTTGAAAAATCTGGAATTTATTGTTTCATTTCCGTAAATTCGTTGATAGAAGGTCGACTCAAAACTACTCGACAATATGGTTAATTCTGAAATCCGCGTAAAAAAAAACCAAAATCCGCGTAAAAAAAACCGCGTAAATTCCGGAATCCGCGTAAAAAAACCGCGTAAATTCCGAAATCCGCGTAAAAAAAAACCGTGTAAAAAAAAAACCGCGTAAAAAGCGACTCCAGTGTATACAGTTTGATAAATTTTGGACCAAATCAGATAATGGGATTGTAAAAAAAGTTAAAAAACGTGATGCCAACAAAATTTACCAACATCTGTATGAACCGTAGAAATTTGTTTGAGCCTAACTGAACGCCATTTTCCTAAGAAAAAAGACGTAGTTTACGTTAAAAAAATAACTGACAATCACAAGGCACTGCAGACTTCAAAAAAGCGATTGAAACCCAAATTTAGTTTATGCACAAGTTGGATAAAATTGTAGACCGTATCAACTGGCAGCACTGCCCTTTTTCGATTCATGCTCGACCACACACACAGAACGCAGTCTATGTTCCTTTCTCTTTTTCATGCGATGAGTCCACTCTCTCCTCACCCCACACAAAAATGTCCCTTTTTTGCGTATTTCGCACAAAGAACGAATTCCAGGGAACAAACTGCTTCCACACGATAACGTTCATCTTACAAAACAAGATTGTATACATACCGTATCTAGAGCATATATTCGCCTGTGCCACGAAGCCAACTGTTCGTAATTGTATCCGTTTTGTGCTGAAGAAAACTCAAATCAACCTTCCAGAAGGCTAAAATTCCACTAAAACTGACATCAGGAAGTTCTATCACTACACTTGAAATACATACCACGACACAAAAGTGCACTTTTTTATACCGTCTCGATCTTCTTCAAATTTTTCCACACAGCTTCCAGCAGAAAAATTTGCAACTTTCTGTCACTTCCGTTCGTTCGCCTCTGCTACTGTCACAATCACAATCACAATCCAGAAAATCCAAATTCAAAACATCTAACGCGTCGCGGTTTTCCCGTGCCACGACGGATGCCAACAGAACTTCGACCGGATTCCGTCCAAGGATTCTGTTTTCTGCTCAGAAATTTTGCTCAAACTGCAATTTTCGACCAACGAATAACGAAGAAACCGTGCCAACTACTAATAATAATCAGCGGTACTTCCTTCGCCCAGAGCAACATCACTACATTTGAAACGGACCGACGAACGGGAGCATACTTTTTTATGATGATGAAACGTGAAAAACGCAATCCCGCACACACAAACGAGACAGCAGATGACAGTAGTTTGGTTTTCGAGCTAGCTCCTTCTCTTTCATTCTCGCGGTTTGTTGAGCATGCCATGCTAGTGCATAGCAGAGTTTCTGAATGTGTTGGTAATATTGATGTTGTGCTTTCGACAACCTACAAAAAGCATATACCGGTATAAATTTTAAGCATAAGTTTGACACATCGGACATCGCATGCATAAAATACAGTTGAACGTCGATTATCAGCAGTATACCAGTGCCAGTTTGTAAATCAGTAAAAAATTTTTTCCTATATCAGAAGGCTAACGAACTTCGTCCAAATTGTTTATAATTGAACCGCCTTGCCTACATAATTTTAGCTGTAATTTAGAACCAAAGTTTATGTTTTTGGGAGAAGTGCAAATAGAACTTCGCTTTATTGATATTCATAGTTCTACTGTATAGATCAGTGCACGGTCCCTAACCTCACTTTTTGCTCCCTATCATTTTGCTTCTGAGTAAAAAAGATAGCAACGAATGGGAGCCAAAACAAACCACCCAAAACTGTCAAAACTTACGGGTGAGAGAAGAGTGCGGCAAATCTTCGTGAACTGATCAATACTGCTGGATTGCCCAGTGAGTGTTCGAACCCATGCTTGGAGCTCGTTCCGACCCGTTAGACCAGTTCGATAGGGTTGGATACGAGGTTGGTTGTATGCAGTTTTAAAACGACGGATAAAATAGGCACGGAACACTTGATATCTGGAATGGACTTTTCAGAAATTTTGGAAATCAATAACGTCCATAGAAGAATCCTAGTATTTATGTTATATTTAATTTAAAGATTTCCTGAATGTTTTAGGATTTTATCGGAAAAAGCATGAATTCGATACACACTCAACTCTCTCTTATAGTACGTGCAGACTACAGAGTTATAACATGTTATAGCGCTATCTTGATGGTGGTTTCTGTGTAGCAATTATTTGACAACCGTTATAACATGTTATAGCTGCTCAGTCTGGCCAGCGTTTTATGCCTTGTTCAGACTGGAGAGTTATAACATGTTATAACGGTTGTCAAATAATTGCAGCACAGAAACCACCATCAAGATAGCGCTATAACATGTTATAACTCTGTAGTCTGAACGTACTATTACTCAATATTCAAGGAACCATCGAGTTACAGAGCATCACAGGAAAAAAATCACTATGATTTTGAAATGAATTTGGAAATAATATTTAAGATGATACTCTAAATGCCCAAGCACAATGACAGCGGAATGGCAGCGGAAAAGCCCGATCAGAGTAAGCTTACTTGTCGGATTGAAAACCAGTTAGAAGCGGTTAGGCGTCTTGATGTCATGTGTGACAACTGTCAAACTTTCCGTTGCGCACACTTTCAAACGCACATTGCGTTTGGGCCTTAAGGAAACCTTAAGGCCGGCACACAATGGATAAGTTGTCTGGTTTTTTGACAGTTAGCCCATGCATTATCTGTCAAAAAATCCGAAAATTTATGCACAGAAAAACAAAACTACCCACCGCTTGGGTTTTTTAAACTCAAATTTGAGTTATTTGACCTCTGCCCGTTTCATTTCCTCTCGCTATTGTTGTCAAAAATAGAACGAAAGATTCGACTCAACCGTCTAGTTCCGTACGAGAAGCCAAAATTGAGTAATATGCGATATACCCAAATTTGAGTTGATTGAACTTAATTTTGGGTAGAAAAAATTGAAAATAACTTAGCGATGGGTAATTTTTTTTGCCGTGCTTAAATGCAAACTACTTTGAGCCGGTTTACCCAAATTTGGCTTATCGTACGGAACATGGGAGATGAGTGAAAAGAACTTAATTTTGGGTTGTTTTGAATTTCTGTGTGCATTGTGCAGGCTGGCGCACACTTTGAAGTTTCACAGCGTGAAACTTCAAAAGCACAAATGTCAGCTCCCTCAAAACATACGAATATGAAATTGCTACTCCTTGGTTGTAGCACTACAAGAAACAGAGAGTTGCAATTTCATTATTGTATGTTTTGTTGGAGCTGATGAGCTTTTGAAGTTTCACGCTAAGGCTTCCTCAACGTTTTATTCAAGCATGAATTCAGTGGAATTTGTTTTTAGATTTTTCGACTAAAACATTCATTTATGATTTTAGGGAGATAGCATTGCTTGCAAAATTGGAGAGACTTTGAATTTCATTGAGCAAGAGAAAATATCAAGGTACAGAATATCGAGAGTTAAGTATAAAAGCAAAAATATCCCTCACCTATGATCAGAAAACTATACATGTATGTTAAAACAACTTGAAAATATTTGAGTAGGTTTATGTTTGGCTTTTATATTTTTTTATTTTCTTTAAACCCATACCTTCCCATGGTTGCGTAGGTGATACGAATTTTCGGTTCATCATACGATTTTCAATCCAGCTTTAAATAGGGTACTACTTCGTATTTGTGGTATTGATGTCTCCAGCACAGTGGAGTTGGTTTCCTGCTTAGCGTTCAGGCTCACGCCTTTTAATGAGAAGATAATCAATGCTAGATGCACGGGTTCGAGACTTTACCATAATGCAATGCTACGCGCCAACCGCTGCTGCTGAGGTACGGGACAAGGAAAATTCCTACACATGAAATGGGGACGACCCCGGTGGAGTGGCTAGCATCCATACCTCTCACACCAAAGTCACGAGTTCAAATCTGATCCCTGGGCAAGCTACGAATGATTCAAGAGTATGCAAGTGACTATACAAAAAAGTGTCATTATTAGGATTTACACAGGGGACTTCAATGCGAAGACCGAACCGAACCCGAAAACACGGACTATGACCAACCGGTGGAAAATAACGATTTTAAATTGGCTCACTACTTGACTAGCCTATTGGTCCCAAGCAAATCGATTAACGTACCCCATTATAGTTGTAGTACTACACTATGTTTGTTTTGATTCGCTATGAAAGTTTGACAGATAAAATCAGGGTTTCGTGAATTTTCCTATGTTTCGAGGGGTGCACTTTTTGGCTCAGCTCTGGTACTATCTTCGGTCCTAAGCTAATCGATGCACCCCTCGAAACATGGGAAAATCCACGAACCCCTCATTTTATCTGTTAAACTTTCATAGAGAATCAAAACAAACATAGTGTAGTACTAGAATTCCGACTAGAATGGGATACGTTAATCGTTTGCTTGGGACCAATATGCTAGTCAAGTAGTGAGCCAATTTCAAATCGATAGTTTCGTATTGATTGTTGACTATAGTGCAGGAACACAAAAGTAGGTAAAGCGGGTCAAAGCAGTTTTCATGTACTTGTGTGCAATTCGTATGGAATGTTCTACTAGCTTTCTACCCAAAAGTAGGTAAACATGATTATACGCTACGTTGGGTTCCAACACTTTACTACCTCTATTGGGTGGTTTTGCTCCTCCGTTTTTGACAACAGTTTGTCTCCTTTTCTCCTTCTACACTCAAAAAAGTCCACACGACTGATCGAAGTGTTTAAACACTTGATAATTCATGTGCACAATCACATTTATTATAAGTGTGTTTCACCATGGTTCAATGTGTTCTACACGTTGATTTCTTGTGTTTCAAACTTTGAAATGTTGATAATCTTTAACTATCAATTGAAGTGTATTGCATATTGAATCACACTACTGTTCAAAACAGATGGATTTGAAGTGTTTTGCATTTCAATGCGATGTGAAATGCTTGTTATGCAAGGTAAACATTGAAAACATGAGTTGTGACTTCATACTTATCTACTAGCCTCATATATGAGAACAACCGTGGGCCAGTGAGATCGAACGAAGACAACTGCAGCAGCACACCCCAACAGTCCAGGATCAATTCCCAAATCAGACGCATTAAAACAAGGCATGTGTATGCTCTGCCCTCTCGCTGCTTTGTTTATTTATTTCTCGATTGATTCGGTAAAGTAGAAGTCGATAAAGTAGAATATTGTAGAACATTAAACTATGATGTGCAAAGCCATTGATATCATCATGTGAAGCACATAGAATCCAAGTGCGTCACTATTCGAACCAATAGTTTTGAGACATGGCTCAAAGCATAAGATTCTTACATGAAATGGCTGTGTTTCTCAATAAGTGCAAATTGCTCTTCTATCATTGTTTGTGATACAAAAACATCCATCCAAATATACTTTCATTTATTTAAGATGATCATAGGTCAAAAATTGTACAATGTACAGTTTGAAATGATGGGTACATGATTGTTACTTCGGTCATTCGGACTGCCTAGCATGATTGGTGCTCATTTTCTAAAGGCGGGGCCAATCAAAAGTTAGGCACCCTACTCTGAAATCGTCGTCTGAAACGTCCAATGTAACACTCATTGATTATGCCATTGAGAAAAATCGTCCAATGTAACATGTCCGATATACAACTTGACTAGTCAAAACATCCTATGTGTACATGAATTTCAAAGTAAAATTGTGATTTTACCGTTTCTACTGAATTTTCAACTTTATTATTCACTGACTACATTAAAAATAGTATTGCAAAATGTATAGTTTCTAAACAGTTAAAATAATAATCTGTCGAACTTCAACTTCGATTTTCTCAAAATGGTGGATATCTCGCGTCACTTTTCAAATAGTCCAATGTAACAAATGTAAACAAATCGAGTTAAGCGATACAAACAATTGCTCATCTGTCATTGTATGTGATACAAAAACATCCATCCAAAATTACTTTCATTTATTTAAGATAATCATTGATCAAAAATTGTCCAATGTACAGTTTGAAATGATGGGTACATGATTGTTACTTCGGTCATTCGGACTGCCTAACATGATTGGTGCTCATTTCCAAAGGCGGGGCCAATCTAAAGTTAGGTACTATACTCAGAAATCTGCGAAAGGGAATCTAGTATCATGTAGACAAAACGTCCAATGTAACAATCATTGATTATGTCATTGAGAAAAATCGTCCAATGTAACATGTCCGATGTACAACTC